CCTCCCTCCAGCCACCCCCCTACGAGAGAACATTATCTGTCGTTTTAAGGTGTAGCCACAATTACTTAGCATAACAATGGGAGAAAATTCCACTGAAAGAAAAGGGAATAATTCAACCTCCAACAGCCCCTTGGCCAAATAGAAGGGTGGCTGAGGGCAGCGTGCCAGGAGAATGAGGTGAGTTATGCCTCCCTTGATGGTCATGGGAGCCACCTCGATCTCCAGAGGTGTGTGTGCAGTGTCCCTGATAACAAAATACTCACTGCTGTCCAGTCCCATATGGTTTATTGTCACGTCCTGTGAGTTGTCCGGCAGATCCACTGCAATGATTGTCCAACTGGTAGACCTGAAAAGAAAAGCTTGGGTAGTCAGGAGTCTGAAACACCTGTGAAGCTGCCAAACTTTGTTAAGTAAACATTTGTAATTTTTATTTTCCTGCTGTCCTGTACCCTGCTTCCCTTCCTCCCCCTTTTTTGTTAACAGAGAGGCTTTCCCCACTGCTGAGCCCGCTGTATTTATATCATGGCATGGGGCGGGTCCGTGCTCTGGTCTTAGTTTTTTTGTTTATTGGTGTTTCCTTCTCTCTGATTTTTCTTCCTGTGTTGCTGGTTTCAGGACAGTCTCTGGCAAATTGTCCTGGCTTCCTACACTGGAAGCAGATAACATGTTGGAGCTGCTCTGGTGACATCGGTTGCCTTTTCATTCCTGATGTTACAGCTGTTTGGGTTTGCCAGTCCAAGCCTTTTCTCTGGTGCACAGAAGAGTTCTGCTTTCTTAACACATGCTTCTATCATCTGTGCTAGTGTAGGTGGAGGATCGATAGGCATTCCTAAGATAACCTTGCGGCAGGCTTTGTTGGCATTTTTCTGAGCCATTTCCTTAATATGTTCTGCCTGTGCTACTGGGTCTTCGACTTGTCTTTCCACCTGTGCACGAAGTCAATTCACAAACTGTGAAAAGGGCTCAGAGGCAAACTGTTTCATATTAATATAACTTCCCATAGTCTCTACAGTAGGCAACTGGTTAAAAACCTTTTCTGTCACCCCACAGATTTTATCCAGAATGAATTTGGGTAACACCCGAGATTGGTCCTTAGGGTTAGCCCACTCCCCTTCACCACATAGATGTTCATAGGTGATGTTATTCCCATCTGCATCTGTTGCACCCTGGGTGCTTTGCTTAAGTTCCCCAGGAGTCCCTTCAGAGATCTCTTTCAAGTGTTTTCCCACAGGTCAAGCTCTGAGGGGATTAGGAGACATTGGAAGAGATCTTGGAGGTCGGCTGGGACTAATTTGTGGGATGTTAGGGTAGCTTTCAACATTCCCTTAAAGTTCCCACCATCTTGGCCAAACTCCCTTTGAGTCTTACAAATTTCCTTTTTGTTTTGGTAGGAGAAAGGCAGAAAGCTTCTAATTCCATTTCTCCTACCAGTATATATGACAGGGGCAGCTGATGGTATGGCTTCTTCTACCTGGCTTTGATCCCCAGGATACCTTCCCCTGGGGTCCCCCCCCGCCCTCACCACTGTGGGGACCCTTCCCACGGGAATGGGGAGGCAGCTCCACCCCCACAGTGTGGGAAAAGGGAGGCACCCTGCCCCCTCAGCCCCTGTGGGAACTGGGAGACTGGGCACTGCACCCCCCGCCCCCACCCTCATAGCAACCTGGAGGCAGGGCATGGGAAACTGGAACACGAGAGGGGGTGGAGCCACCTGAGAGGGAGGGGCAACCGTGGGAACCAGGATTGCAATACATGGGGGCGGGGTTGCGGATGATGTCATGCAGGGCGGGAACATGGAGGAGGGAGGGGGCGTGTCCGAGAGGAGGCAGGGATTATGGGAGGGGAAAGGCTTGGGGGCGGAGACAAGCAGGTAAAAGGGATTGTGGGAAAAAAAAAGGTAAGATGGAGGATCGGCCACGTGGCCGGTGCCATTTTGGACCCCCTCCGCGTGGTCTCTGACATGTGGGTAGGGGAGTTCATCTTTATGCTGAAGCCAGGGAGTGGGAACTGAGGTAGAGGGGTGCAGGGAAGGATCTCTGTTAGTCTGTGCAAACTTCCAGAGTCAGGTGCTGTGCAGGAAGTGGGGGACCAGGGAAGCTGCGGCTGTGTTCCCTGTGTTTCTTGGGGTGCCCTGCGCGTCTTGTCCAGTTCAAGGGCTGAGGGCTTGGGAGACAGGTTAGGGGAAACTGGGGTTATTTGCTGTGGCTTTCCCTTTTTGTGCTGAAACCCGTGCGCCAGGCTGCCCGTGCCACTCCATGCTGCTGCTGTTTGCCAGTTCCGCACCACTGTGGGAGCTGCCTACAGCCATTCCCGGCGCCATGGCGCCACATGCCCTGCATGACACTGCGCCGAAACCACCGTGGGACCTCTCACTGTGCCAACTCGGGCCCCGTGCCACTCCCTCACTTGCACCACTCTGGCCCCATGCCGCTTTTGTTCCCCAGGAAGGAACCTGCTCCCGCCATGACTAGGGGTTGTTTTAGGGTCCCCGCTACCACTCACGAGGGATACTCACTCCTTCCTGGGGACCTTGGTGCTGCAGAGTTGTTGCAAAGAAACTTCTTTGTCCAGACTCTGACCCACCTTTGGGCTGAAGGCAGGCTGCCAGTCTCGTCCCTGTCAGTAATCACTGCAGAAAAAGCAGCTCCTCATTGCCAGGGTAGTTGTACGATCCATAGGCTTATAATTCATGAATGCAATCCAGCCATTCCCGTGGGGCCTCTAAGCTTATGGGAAGCCTGACATTGGACTGCCAACTGAGGTAATTCCTTTTTCTCTCTAGTCCCCTGGCTAGCTCTGGACCAGAGAAGGGTGAGAAATCCTCATAGACAAAGGCAAAAAAACCAAAGGAGTCTCTTTTCTCCCATGGGAAAAGTTTGTCCACAGTTTATTGTGTCACGCACATGGTGTGTGAAAGGAGAAAGGAGAAAGAGAGAGAGAGAAGATGGTGGGCATTTTTAAACTCAGGGAAAGGGGAGGGGAGGAACAGACCCGCGACCAATGGGATGCTGCCGATGGGGAGGGGTGAAAGGAAGGACTTTACCATTCCACAACTTGGGGGGGACAGAATGGGATAAACCATTCAGTGCAAATATAAAACAATTTCTTAGTGTAATACAACAGCAAATGATATTGCACATGAATTTGGTCTGGTGACAATAAGTGCTACTATTTTTGTTGACAGTGTGGCATATTTTCAACCACACTTTGTTTCTATTACTGTTTATTTATGTTCAGGACAGAGGAAAGTGTTTGACCTCCCATTTGGAAGCTGTCTCTTTCACAGCAACGTGTATGATAATGGTTCCTCATTTATGTATGACAACTGCACAGTGTGTACATGCAAGGTAAGTCCACAGTGCTTTGATATTGTTTGCTGATGGTTGTTTGGCTTAGCAGTAATTTTTAGGGCTGTGGAATTGTAAGCTGATGCTGTTCTTTGGCATCTTGTGTGGTCTCAAAGAATCTGATGTGAAAAGCATTTGCAGTTGTGCTAGGAAAGTTTAAAATGTTACTGACTCTCTCAGCTGAGACATGATGCCTGACCCAGTGTGATGCAAAATAAAGTTGCTCAGATTATGTGGTCCTCTTTAAGACTGCTTTAGAATGGAAAAAGAGTTTCTAAATGATGAACTACCATGTTTCTTCTGAAGGTCAGTGTTTTTTTATTTTGTTCCCTAACATGACAGCAACAACTTACACTTTTTTACCAAGGCAAAAAAAAAAAAAAGTGCCACCAAATCTGTGAGATTTCTCAGGCAACAGAAGTACAAACCGGGCTTTAGCTTCATAGACCGTGAAAGATTCCCTTTATATATAAATAATATTTATTTTCTCTGAGCTGACCTGTTCAAAGCTTGGCCTGTAGCTTGGGTGGATGCAATAATTGAGCAAGCAGAAAGACACATAGCAGGACAAACATCTTGGTGATGATTTTATTATTTCCTTTCACCATTGTACCTAGGATTCAACAGTGATATGTAAGAAGAGGTGTTTCCTTCCTGGCGAATGCAATAAAAACAAAGACCACTGCTGCAAAGAGTGTGTCTCATACATCTCTCCTGAGGAGGTGAAAGTATGCAAGTTTGGCAATAAGATCTTCCAGGTGAGATTTCAGGTGTGATTCAAGGGTAGGTGCCATTTTAACAGCCGAAATAGCACGAGTTTTCTGTAAATCAGTATTGTAGCTTGTTTTTAGCAGAATCTTCACCATCCTAGTCAATGATGGAACAATTCAGAGGCAAAGCTTTGCAAAATTTGCCATCTGTTTAGTTTTTTCTGACTTTGAGTAAATTCTGCTCATAACCAACAGTTAAAGATTAGTTCCTCCTTGAATGTTACATGTTATCTTCCTCTCTGTATGTAGATGTTCAAACTGCTTTTTCATGACAATTGACGCATTTTTAGTATGAGATACTAATGCTCTGCTTTCCCAAACAAACACTGATACTCATGGAGGAGATATTCTGAGTGCTATGTAGGCTTTATCGGCTGAGCCAGTCTTTTCCATAACTGAGCCAACAGGAGCTTTGGATGGAAGCTACTTCATTTACTACATTTCACATCTCTTCTTAGGACAGCACCCCTGACATTTTATACTGGGATAGCCATGTAAAAATTGTTAGCTACTGCACTCTCACCCAATGTATTCAAATCACAAGGGATTCCCTGCAGAACTGTTCCTGAGACCCCAGTTGTTTTTTTTAAGTGGTGCAGGTTTTTTCACACTGTGTCAGAAAAAGATTCTGTCACCTCATGGGCCATCTGTGAATTAAGAGACCCTTGAATCAGATCAAATGTTAAGTCCTGTGTGAATAGTTGGTTTGCTCAGCCAGAATTACTTCCCATTTATTCCATCTTTTGTGTACATAGCAGAAGTGTTTATTCTGGAAATTACGTGTGAACCTGCTGTACTCTGAGACTATGCTCCATCTGATTGGCACTTTCACACTGGTGCCATTGTGCTTCAAGAACAAATGCCTACTTCTTAGACACCCAACTAAAATATTCTGCTTCTTGTGGAGATTTTATTATATTACTAGTATTATATGGAGTGTGAAAAAATAACGAGACACTACATTCATTTCTGGTTTTGTGTGCAAAAAAAGTAAATTCAATATTGCTTTGTTTAAGTCAATGGTCTAACACAGGTAGAATGGGCACAGAAAATGTGTTTCTGCACTCCTGTGCAAAACCAGCTGTGGGACAAAAATTCAGGGCAGCTGCATGCAGTCAGCTGTGATGTATTCTGGCAGATGCCTGGTGAGTGATCATTATATACTGAAGAACATCAGAAACACCAGGCAATAGAAACATTCCCTAGAAACAAAAAATAGGAGAGAGAAAGCCTTTGATGAAACAAGCTGAGCTGAATAAGTTAGGCTCCTTGGCATTTCAGATATAGTATGTTTCTGTTTCTGGTCAGAACATCATGTTTAGGTGGGCACAAAATTATTCACAGCTGTCTGGTTGAACTGCCTGTTCCTGTCAGGTCTATCCTCACCCTTCCTTCCCATCAGCCCTGTAAACAGAAAACGTGCACAGTTTGGCTCTAAGCAGACTAGCGTAAGTCTGTAAGTGGGTGAGAGAATATTTTAGGAACCACACTTGGCAGATGCAACACCATGTAAAAAGGAGCCAGGGCAGTTGCACAAGCAATTCGTCTCAAGTGGGGACAAGACCACAAGGCATATTATGGTCTGCACTTCATATTTTCAGAGCTGTACATAGGCTGGTCTTACCTGCTCTGCTTTTGAGAAATCCAGCACTGTGTCTCTTCTAAATATTTTCAGATGTTTAGCAGATCAAATATCCATGAAAGTGCTGTAGTAATCTAAATTAGAATTATTTGACCATTCCTGCCCTATGTCTACATATGGGAATAAATTCACTATCTTCTGACATCTTAATCAAGTATTTTCATGTGCAACAACTTAGAGACACCACTCAACCTAGTGAATCAGGTTTTTCTAATTATGTGAACTTAAATTAAAATTTGTGGTAGGTGTGATCACAACTCAGATGCTTATTGGAGGGAAAACAATGCAAATAAGCAGGATGCTGTTGAAAAATTCAAATGTGATTTGGTTAGCTTTGGAAAAATTAATTTCTTACCAAAAAGACCAAAGGGAAGAAAACCTGGCTGAATTTGATCTCTGTCTTGAATCCAACTGGCCATGAACAGACACCTCAAAGTAATTTAGACTAAACAACGACACAATGCCAACAGAGAAATTCATCCTTTCTTGTGCAATGATACATTGCTGAAATAGCTTATTGTTGCCACCCCAGCTGATATGATATCATGTTCCCTCTTGCAGGATGGAGAGATGTGGTCCTCTGTGAACTGCACCCTCTGTGCTTGTGTGAAAGGCAAGACAGAGTGTCGCAAGAAACAGTGCATTCCAGTCAGCAGCTGTCCTCATGTGAGTTTTTTAAAAGAACTGAGCTTTCTTCTCTTTTCTGCTCCACCATTATCTTTTTCATTATCTTTTTTTCAGTGTTTCTTGGAAGTTGTGTGCATGACAGTGAGGCATGCTGTTTGGAAAGAAGGGATTATCTGGAATGTTAATTTAGGCTGGCATTTCCCAAATGTGCAACTATTATCCTGAATATGGTCTTCCTGCCTCTATCCTTGCTCTGGAGATTCTGTGCTCCTCCTCTCCTTCTCCTTTAACTTTCTCTGTCCAAGTATCTGCATTGGAACAGTTATTTTTGACTTTTATTTAATAGTTTTATAGAGTGGTGAGGTGACTATGTTGATATTTCAGTAGTGTGTATATTGTTAAGGCAAGGCATAGGAGGTTGTTGTACTTGCATTTCTCAGTCTATATGAGGCTTAATACTTGGCTGAAAATGTAAATTAGACAAATCAAAGTAAATTAGTTCAACCAAGCCATGCTGCTTTCGCTAAGGTTGTGGCCTGGGTATTTTTTATTTGAGAGTCTGAAGTGAACCGAAAGAATGCTGTAATTGTAACTTAATGGGATCAAAAATCAGCTTTACTTGAAACCCTGAGCTAAAATCAGCCTTTGTTTCTTGGATTTCTGACACTGACAAATGATTTTGATCTTATGGCTCAAGCTTTCACAAGGTGGAGCTCTAAATAGCACCTCATGTAGGGGCAGATCTTTGAGCAAAACTGCAGAGGAGAGAGCCAAGTTGTTAGCATTACCTTCTCAGTGTTTCCTTCTTGATCCTGGAAGCCAGTGGGGAAAATATGAATCACAGACACCTAGATATAAAATTTTTAAATTAAAAACTCTTGGTTTGTAAAATTTTATATGTGTAAACTTTTGACAGAAGTGGTGGTAGAATAAAGAACCTGTTCCTTGGCACTCCCCATTCTGGTGTGACAGTGGGTTTCAAGATCCTCAGAAGAGAGAACATCCCTTTCCTGTCACTCTAGCACTCACTGCAGAGGGCAGTTCTCCTCTTAATGGCCTCACATGAGATGCTGCATACACATCAGGAAGTGTGAAAAAATGGAGCTATTCTTCTGGGAGTGTTATATGGCTCATGGCAGTCAGGTTTGCTACATTCATGCCACTCACAGTACAAACAGGAAATGAGAGCTTGGGCTCTTCAGGTCTTGCACAAACTGCATTGCATTTACATTTTTCTTATGCTCATGCATTTTAAATGTTTAAGGTGCTTCTGAGATCAAGTAGATAATATGACTTAATAGAGATTTTCAGAGTAGTACATCACTTCAGCTGTATCTATATATAAATTTGAGCATTGAGATGATCAGTTGAAGTGGCTTCTAAAATGAAAGAAGTGATGTGTAAAGTGCTGCAGCATATAAGTGAGAATGAAAAACTCATTCGGTGCTGCTATAGAACCTGCTCCAAGGCTAATGTGAAATCTAAACTGCCCTTAGCCTCTGAGGTGAGTCCGCAAACAAGGTCTGGTTCCTTGGGGCTGGAAAGACCAACTTTGTTAACCCGCAACACCATTCCCCCCAGTATATAATCAGTCAGCCAAGTTATCACCTTAAAATTCAAGCTGCAAGCAAACCCACCCTCCTCCACAGGTACACCTTACATTTCTGCTCTTCCAAGCTAAATTGGAAGGAGAAGTAGGAGAAAGAATGTAAAATCCAGAGTAAAATTTATTTTCCTATTCCAAGTGGGTTTTAAAGCAAATAATGTATGCTAATTGATTTAAATCTTTTACATTTCATCTCTGCTCCACTATCTTTGATGAGACTTTCTGCCATAAATCTATAAACATCTCTAAAACACACCACATTTTTCAGGATAAATATATATTAGTGGTTCTGATACTGACTATCATGCATAGAGTTATGCTGCTGTCTCTGCAAACTGTAGATGTGTCCATTCCTTTTATTTCTTCACAATATTTCTGACAGTAATCAGTCTCCACTGACTATTGAACACTACTGTGGAATAAAATGTGGTTTAGTGTCCCTTAGGTGTCAGGCAACATAAAGTTATCTCATTAAATGTGTATTCTTATACAGACAACTGAGTGTGAAAGGATTGAAGATTCACAGGGAATTTAGAATATTATTCCTTAACTTAAACGCTTTACCGTGCAGTCATAATATTGTGGGTGAGGTTTTTTGGTTATGGAATTTTATTTATCATAATAAATTTTGGCCAATTATTTCTTGAAAGTATGGGTTGCAAGGTGATAATTCTGTAGAAATTTCCAATACTGCACAACCATTTGTATTATTCAATCTATTGGTTGCAGGCTGACATATTTTTTAAGACTATTTCTGCCATTTCTTTAGTTTTCATCATAGTGCTAGACACAAATTTCTGTTTCTTTTGTTCTTTTCTTTTTGGAGCATTCAATCTCATATCAGCAATTGCAGGAAATCTCTTTCTTTGGTTCTTTTGATCTGCTGCAGAGGCAATACACTTTTCAAATTCAGTCCCTCCTATCACATTTATAGTAAGACTGGTCCTTCTTGGCATTCTAGTGAGCTCTGTGGCTTGTAGTTTGTTTCTTACTTTCTGACCATTGACTCCATACAGATATTCCCTCTCTATCTGAAGTGTCAGCCTGCAAGGTGTGGTATATAGTGGCCCCCATTCAGCAAAGCTATTAAGCATGCGTCCAGTTCTGCTGAAGTTAGTAGGCCCTCCATGTGTGCTGGAACTTAAACACATGCTTAAACACTTTATAGAAAGGGAACAATCTAAACATTTGGCAAGACTGAGTTTCAGAGATCCTTTGGATTTCTTTCTGAATTTGCTATTTACTTGCCCTAGTTCTGCTCTAGTCTGTTCCTCGCTTTGTGCCATCTCCTTTCTAATTACCCATCCTTATAAATTTGTCACCTTGCTGCCTCTCCTTATGCCTTTGCATTCCTCACTAACATCTTAAGTCTGTGGTAACGATCAGTGGTCATGAACATGTCTCTTTTAGTACTGCTAGAGGAGAATTTGGTAAATTTTATAGCATATAATCTTTTCTGAGCTCTAAGACTATGCAAATGTTAATAGAGTTAAATTCATGGCAGGTTAAGACATTTGCAGAGCTCAATTTTGTGGGTAAATTATGAACCCGTGAACTTCAAGTGAGCTGAAAATTTATTCAGAACACATTCTCCCATCTCTAGCACAGACTGCATATAATGTTATCCACATCTGTTATTATTACAAACAAAAAGTTGCTGTTTTTACTCTAGTGCCAAATGAGGCACAAAAAACAACAGCTGTTGCTATTGCACAACCAAACAACCCCCTTCTCCCCAGCAATTAGTCTTACCTTAAAAAAAATAGAAAATAAAACCCTCAGACACAAAATTGAAAACCCCATAGAAAGGAAGAAAAATCCCCCAAAATAAATAGACTCAAATGTGGTCTGCTTATAAATATTCATAGGGGAAAAAAGGGATCACATCACTTAGCATACTCCTAAGGGAACCCTCAATACTAACGAACTCTTGCAGCACATGTTAGCAATAATGGGTTTCCTTATTCTACAAGAAAAAAACAGGGTCTCAGGCCAATATGGTGGGTCAAGTAACCAGCCTCAGCAGGCTGCCTTGGAGATTCCAATTTCACTTGAATTCTTGCCACTTCCAGCTCTGCTGATGGTTTCAACTCTTTTATTGAAACAGAGGGGTAAGGCTGTGCAGTGCAGTGCATGGCATTCAGCTGCATGTCTCTGTTCCTACAAATAAGTGTTTAAGCTTCCTATTTCTGGGTGGTTTTAAGGGTTACTCCTTTAAGGGGTTCTGTTCTAGCAGGTGCTTGGTGCTTCCTGTAGCAGCCTGGTCCTCAACTATTCTCTTTGCCCAGGGACCTAGGAGTCACGTGAACATTTAAGTACTGCTCACTCTGCCAGTGCAACTCTGATGCAGCCCTTTTCTTAAGTCCAGATGTGTCTCAAGTCTGTTCACATGAAGTTGCGTATTCAAAGTCAAACTTATGCTGGTCTCGGCCCAGTGGATGATGTGCCCAAGTGCATTGATGACTAAGGATTCATTCATGCCATATGTGTACATCAAGCCAAAGCAGGATGGAACATGCTAGCAGATTTGCTAGCAGATACTTGTAGTTCATGCGTCTCCATGCACACTGTCAAAGCTTGGCAGCACTGTAGGCAGAAAGCAAGGTAGACAGCTGCCTTTGCCCACTTCCCAACCATTTGCATGGACCTGTCAGCAATTTTTTGTCTGTTTTCACAAGTTTTTTTATGTGTTTAGTGGGCAGGATAGGATAGCTCCATTTCCTCACACTTGCTGTCCTCACCCTGCTTACCTACCTGGTGGGAATTAGCTGTAGTCACACAGAGGGGACATTCTCTGTGATCTCTGTTCAGCTGCTGTTGGAGCAAAATAGCAGTGCTGGGGAACAGCACAGACCATATACTCGTCATTCCCTGTAAGGGATTATGGGTGACCTCAATATCACTGTACATTTTCTTATAACCAGCACCAGTTTTTACTTAGAAAAACACATTGCTCATTCTGAAATTTTTCAGGATTCTCTGCTAGTTGGCTGATGAACGTTGGATAATTTAAGTAAAATCAGATAAAACATATCTTAAACTGATGAAGACTGAAAACAACATGAATGTGCATACACAGTGGCCTTCCTTCCTTCCTTCCTTCCTTCCTTCCTTCCTTCCTTCCTTCCTTCCTTCCTTCCTTCCTTCCTTCCTTC